TTTTTTTTTTGTCCGTTGTGGGATCTGAACTCTGGTCTTGGGTGCTGTCCCTCAGCTCTTCAGCTCAAGGCTAGCACTCTATCACTTGAGCCACAGTGCCACTTCTGCTTATGTGGTGCTGAGGAATCGAACCCAGGGCCTCATGCGTGCAAGGCAAGCACTCTACCACTGAGCCACCTGCCCAGCCCATCTCCTTCCCTTTTAACCTTCTTAAATTACCTGATGCAGGCTGGAATTTGGTTGGAGCTGACCCTCCCATTGGTTTAGACACTGCTTTAGCAGGTGCGGCAGGCTTTGCTGGCATGTTAGCTTTGGCTTTCTCTAGCATGGCCAATACTTGATCTTTAGAAGTTGGCTAAAAAGAGAAAGTAAAATAAGTGAAAAGTGATAGAAATGATGCACTCAGAGTAAGCTTACTAACTGATGTGATAAGTAATTAAGCTGCTACCTTTGAAATACCAATGAAGAGAGGCAATATGCATTATGGAGTAATAAATACTAAGAGAATTAATATGCATTATGGAGTCACATTCAGGTAGCTATTCTTCTTTCACCCTTGTAGATTCTAAAAGTTTTATACTACTAAATATTTTATTTTTGCTCTTACCAAGATTTCAAAGTGAGCCTCTGTAAGAAATGTGGTCTTTGCTTATATAAATTCACATTCAGGCTGGGTGCTGGTGGCTCATACCTGTAGAATCCTAGCTTTCAGAAGGCTGAGATCTGAGGATTGTGGTTTAAAGCCAGCCTGGTCAGAAAAGTCCCCATGAGACTCTTATCTCCAATTAACCACTCAAAAACTGGAAGTGGAGCTGTGGCTCAAAGTAGAGTACTAGCCCTGAGCAAAAGAGCTCAGGGACAGCACCAGGCCCTGAGTTCGAGCCCACAAATACCAAAACAAAAAATAAAAATAAATTCATACTCAGTATTTTTCTAATAGCTTTAAACAGAAGCATCAACAAGAAGTACCTTTAGTTTCCCAGTAGCTTTGGCCATTTTTTCATATCCTAGATGCATCATGAAGAATGGCAAAGCATCTTGGGCCTTCTTTCGTACATCTCCATTTCGATCTTCTAGGCAGGAGTAAAGATGAGGAACACAAAGTATAAGGTCTGTGGGAGTGGAACGAAGGGTAGGTAGTTTCTCAGCCAGCCAGCCTAGAAGCTGCCAAAAGAAATAAAGACTAGTCACTCACTTCAAGGGGAAATTTACTATTTAAAATAATTTGTTATGTCAAGCCTAATGATTTCATTAGTCCCAAACATTAAATATATTATTATTATTTTTGTTTCTTCAGGTATTAAACCCAGAGCCTTACGCATGCTATACCACTGACTACACACTTAGTCTCTGGATTAGATTTTGTCGTGTGTGTGTGTGTGTGTGAACTGAGGACAGAATTCATGGCTTCATGCTTGCAAGTCAAGTGTTCTACCATCTGAGGCATGCACACCATCCTTTCGCTTTCACTTTATTTTTTACAGTTTTATACTAACTTTGCCCATGGCTGGCCTCCTGAATAGCTAGGATGACAGGTGTGAGTCACCAGTCCTGGCCTGCAATGATACGGTTTTAAATGCTGAACTCATTTTTATGATTAAAACCTCTGATTTAACCATTTAAGATTTTAAGAAAAGATGAAATTCCATTTAAAAAGCCAGTCCTTTAAACAGCTTTATTAAAGAAACACACAAATAAAAAAATACATAAACACAAACACTACAATAATTTTATTTCATTATTTTAAATATTTTATTTTTTGAGATAGTATCTTACTATGTAGCCCAGGCTATCCTGGAATTTGCTATGTAGCCCAGGCTAGCCTTGAACTCATATTCCTCCTGTCTCCACCTTCTGAGTACTATGCCACTATGTTTTCTTTTTCCTACTAACTCCTGGCACAAAATTCTAGCAACAAATGTATGTTTATTATGGGAGTCCTCACTCCTAACAAGGTAAGAGACATGAGGAAAAGCTCATGGTTGATTTATAGTACTAACCTCTTGCCTCAAGAAAGGATTTTCCTTCTTGAGTTCTTCAGAAAGATCTTCTCCCTCCAGCCATTCCTTCATGCCAGTCTGTTCTGCCCAAGCATTCACAGTTGCTAGGGCAGCAGCTCGAACATTATTCTGAATGGCAAAAATAACAGAGTATAGTTTAGAGAATGAAAAGTTTGTTTCTTAGTAAACTCGGATAATGTCAGTTTCTCTAAGCTCCACATGACATAATTGAAATCATCTTCTTTGATACACAAACTAGTTTTATGGTTATACTAAAAGCTACAGAAGAAAGTAGAGATATAAAACTCTAAATTGGAAAAAAAAAAAGTCCTATACTTTTAAAAAATGCAAAACAGCAATGTGGGCATAAAATCTTCAGATTTTAGCCGGGTGCCGGTGGCTCACTCCTGTAATCCTAGCTACTCAGGAGGCTGAGATCTGAGGATCGCGCTTCAAAGCCAGCCCGGGCAGGAAAGACCGTGAGACTCCTATCTCCAATAAACCACTAGAAAACCGGAAGTGGCGCTGTAGTTCCAGTGGTAGAGCGCTCACCTTGAGCTGAAGAGCTGAGGGACAGTGCTCAGGCCCAGAGTTCAAGCCCCACAACCAAAAGAAACAAACAAACAAACTGATTTTGCCTTCTGAATCTTTGGGGCTCTTAGGACCCTAACTGCTTGGTACAGAATGAAATAATTTTATGTCAGGGACTTCAACATAGTTAAAAATGTACTTGCTAACAGTTTGAATATTCAATTATTTTTATACTTGAATTCACACAAAAAGTTTATAACACAAAAAGAAAGACATTAAAATATTCAGTGTAAGATGAAATATAAGCGTTGCCACCCTCACACTTCAATAACCTCTAGGACTGTGAAACTACAAACGTCTTACTAAACTTCTAAATGGTCCTGCTCTAGCAGTTCAGGGAGAAAATAGTACAAATTAACTTTAAGACTCTAAAAGCTCACATGCTTATATCTATCAAAACTTTTTAATGATTTAATAATACCAAGCAGCAATCACTTATTTAAATGAGTGCATTTTTGCGAAACAGCACAAACACAATGTACACTACATAAAGACTCAATTTTATAAGTAAGAAATTTCAGATAAAGAAACTGAACACCAGAGGATGTAACTATCTAAGGATCATAAAGCTAATTGGTGATATATTTAGTCACCTTAACACTGCCTAGAAGGTTGACATGTTTACTATTTTTTCTTCTAATATTCTCATCCTTATAAATTCTCTTTTTGGAGAACAGGGATTAGGAGGTACTGGGAATAGAACCCAGAGCATGCCAGGCTCTGTGCCCTATCACTCGAGCCATACTTCCAGCTTCTTGCTTTTCTTTTTTGGTAGCACTGGGTTTAAACTCAGGGCCTTTGCTTTCTAGGCCATGTGCTCTGTAATACTTGAGCCACATCTTTAGTTGCACCTTTTTGGGGAGGGGGGTGGCAAGTAGTGGTCCTGGTGCTTGAACTTAGGGCCTAAATGCCATTCTTGAGCTTTTTTAGCTGAAGGCTGGCACTCTACCACTTTAGTCATAGCTCTAACTTCTGGCTTTAAATTTTTTTTTTTTTTTTAGTAGTACATTGGGGTTATGAATCTTATGCACTTTCCTGCCCAGAATGGCTTTGATCCTCAGATCTTAGCCTCCTTGGTAGCTAGAATTATAGCCATGAGCCATGGTTGCTTGGCTAATTTTACAAACTTTTTTTTTTTTTTTTTTTTTGTTGGTTGTGGGGCTTGAACTCTGGGCCTGAGTGTTGTCCCTCAGCTCTTCAGCTCAAGGCGAGCGCTCTACCACTTGAGCTATAGCGCCACTTCCGGTTTTCTGGTGGTTTATTGGAGATAGGAGTCTCACGGTCTTTTCTGCCCGGGCTGGCTTTGAACCGTGATCCTCAGATCTCAGCCTCCTGAGTAGCTAGGATTACAGGCGTGAGCCACCAGCGCCCGGCTAATTTTACAAACTTTTAAATTTACATGTACTATGGAAAAATGAGTATCATAGATTAAGAATAAGGCTGGCTCATTCCAGAATAGAGTTCTGGTAGAAAAGTTTACCTTGCTGTCTCCAAGGACTGTGATGACAGGGATGCCTAAATTCTTTACATGTTGCTTGATGTTTGGGCCCATGGCTACTGCCAATTGCTGTAGGATATTCAATGTCTGTTGCACCTAAGTGGTTAAGAGCCAAGACTTTTTGTTACACAGTTAATAAGAGACTTTTAACCTACTTAAACAAAAGAAACAAACAAAAAACCAGGAAAATCATCTTGTCTGACACAATTCAAATTAGCCAATGAGTAATTTTTAGGCTTTTTTTTTTCTTTTTTTGCCAGTCCTGGGGGCTTGAACTTAGGGCCTGAGTGCTGTCCCTGAGCCTCTTTGTGGTCAAGGCTAGCACTTTACCATTTAAACCACAGTACCACTTCCAGTATTTTCTGAGTAGTTTATCAGAGATAAGAGTATCATAGACTTTCTTGCTCAGTCTGGCTTTGAACTGCAATCCTCAGATCTCAGCCTCCTGAGTAGCTAGGATTATAGGTGTTAGCCACTGGCGCACTGCTTAGGCTTCTCTTTTTATCACCAGTTCACAAAACTATCTTATTAGAGTTTTAGCCTACATGTTACAGTTTATATTTTATTTTTTCCACTTTACCATTAAAAAAAAAAAGCCCTGACACAAAAACTCATATTTAGAGCTGGGAAGTTGGCTCAGTGTAGAGTGCTTGCCTTGCATGCATGAGGCCTTGGGTTCGATTCCTCAGCCATATAAGCAGAAAAAGCCAGAAGTGACGCTATGGCTCAAGTGGTAAAGTGCTAGCCTTGAGCTGAAGAGCTGAGGGGCAGCGCCTAGGCCCAGAGTTCATGCCTCACAACTGACAAAAACAAACAAAACAAAGCAAAAACGCAAAAAACATACAAACAAAAAAATCCTCATATTTAGCCAGACACCAGTGGCTCATGCCTGCAATCCTACCTACTCAGGAGGCTGAGATCTGAGGATCACAGTTCAAAGCCAACCCAGGCAGGAGAGTGGAGCTGTGGCACAAGTGGTAAAACGCTTGCTTGCCTTGAGCTCAAGAGCTAAGGGACAGTGCCCAGGCCCAGAGTTCAAGCCTCATGACCAATAAAAAACAACAACAACAAAACTCGTATTTAAAAATTAGAAATTAAGCAATTTTATATACATGAAACAAGTTATTTAACACTGGATTACTTATAAAGAGTAAACTCTGAAATTCATGAATATTTGATTAATAAAGCTGCACATCTTGAGACATATTTTAAGGAATTTATTTCTGGTTCAAAACAAGTAAATTACTCTTTTTTTTTTACTATCAACTCTTTATTCTTTGTTTTTGCTTTTTTTGTCGGTCATGGGGTCTGAACTCTGGGCCTGGGCCCTGTCCTTCAGCTCTTCTGCTCAAGGCTAGCACTCTACTACTGGAGCTACAATGCCACTTCTGGCTTTTTCTACTAATGTGCTGAGGAATCAAACCCAGGGCCTCATGCATGCAAGGCAAGCACTCTACCATTGAGCTACCTTCCCAGCCCCCCCCTTTTTATTCTTAATTTGTTTTTTTATTAAATGAGTATAATAATATTAATTCAATATGGCTATTTTTTTCCCTAATTTATTGTTGTTTTAGAGGTGATACAGTGGGGTTCCATTTACATACATCATTTCCTTTCGCATAGTGTCATCTGTCCCTCATTCTCTCCCTCCTATCTCTGTCCGTAAGTTGTATAGTTCACTTTCATCAATGTCCAGTGCAGCCAGTGTGCTCCATTGCTGCACTTTTTTCACCCTTTTTCCTTTGATTCTGTGCCCTCTCTCCACCCTCCCACAGATGTCCATATGAATATACTGTATACAAGGTAAAGAATATAACATCATCAGAAAAAAAATGAAGAAAAAAGTCCTTTATTGCCGTAATGTGGAGTTTGTTTTGGTACGTATTTTACTTTATATACATATGAGGAGGCACTTGGATATTGTACCTATGTGGTTCTCTCCTAAGACTATCCCCTTTGGTCTCACTGTATGTGAGTATCTAGAATTTTGAATCTCTCATTTTTTGCTAGTGAAGCCTGCATTGCAAAGGAACTTTTGATAGAGAAAGAGAAAAGACAAATGTTCTACATACCAAGATTTTATTTGAATCATTGAGTCGACCCTTCAAGGCAGTTGGGAGTTCACCAATGTTTGGTTGGATAAATTTCGCTTCATTAATAATTCCAGCCACTTCATCTAAGCCTTCTTTTCTGATCTTCCAATTCTTGTCACCAATCTTAGACACCAACTCTGAAGTAATTTTATCACTGAAAAACAGAAGCCGTTTAAATTTCTAGATTCTCAAAGATTATACCATAGAAATTCCCAGTACTGAATTAAAAAATAAGGTACCATTAAGAATTAAGTACAATGAATCAAATAAACTTTCCCAGAGTGAAATCTACCTGATTTCTGTCCTTGGCAGAAGATCAACAACATCATTCCCTCCATCATCTGGTTCCTCTCCATCTTCTCCTTCATCTATACCACTTGTGGTGTGCTTGGAAATTCCTCTGGTTGGAGCAGGAGGACTTTGCCCCTGCATCTACAAACAAATGAATGAGACTAATGAACTTGATGAAGAATATGAGAGCAAACAGATTGGAGAAGGTGCCTGGGTCAATGTATCTTATTCTTTCACAATACTTATTCACACAGTATTTTAAAAAACATTTTAATTACTACTGAAATTCTAATTTTGAAACTATACTGCAAACCTATTCAAATCTGACTTCTTTATAATAAGTTGTTTTTTGACTTGTATCTCTTAGACAATATAGAGCAAATTAGCTTAACGCTGAGCAATTTTAGCTGAAAAGTTATTCAAGGAGGAAAACTTTATGTTAAATGATTGTTATTATTTTGGTATAGATTCTGGGGCTTGAACTCAGTGCCTAAGTGCTGTACCAGAGCTTTTTTGCTCACCACTAGTGCTCTATTGCATGAGTTACCGCTCTACTTCTAGCACGCGTGTGTGCGTGCGTGTGTGCGTGCGTGCGTGTGTGTGTGTGTGTGTGTACGTGTGTATGAGATTAGTTGGCGCTAAGACTGTCATGGACTTTCCTGCCCATGCTTTCATCAAACTTCAGTCTTGTATTTCAACCTCTTGAGTAGCTAGGATTATAAGTATGAGCCACTGGTGCTCAGCTATTTTAAACTAATTTTTTTTAATTAATGTACTTTAAAAATGAGCAATACAATGCTTGATAAGAAATGTACTCATTATCTTGCCCATGTAATTGTAACCCCTCTGTACAGTATTTTCACAATAAAAAATAAATAAAAATTATTTTTAAAAAATGAGCAATACATTCATGAAGCTTGAAATTCAAAGGGTATAAGAGATCATAGGGGAAAATCTCTCATCTTACACCATAGTTAGTTTCTCAGTTTTCTTCCTTATAATGTCATGAATTTCATATGAATTCTTCCAGGGACATTGCATGAACATTAAAATAAATATATACACATTCTTTTTTTTTTTTTTGTCAGTTGTGGGGCCTGAACTCTGGGCTTGAGTGCTGTCCCTCAGCTCTTCAACTCAAGGCTAGTGCTCTACCACTTGAGCCACAGCACCACTTCTGGCTTTTTCTGCTTATGTGGTGCTGAGTAATCGAACCTAGGGCCTCATGCATGCAAGGCAAGCACACTCACCTCTGAGCCACCTTCCCAGCCCTGATATAGACATTCTTTCTCCCAAAGACTGAAAAAAATTTGGTCTTAATGAGATTCTCATTTCCACCAATGGTTTACCATTGTGGAACTTTTTACCTTTTCAAATTCTGCATCTATCTGGGATAGTAGAGCAGGCTTCTCATCCTCAAAGAACATTCGCAAAGATGGACCAACATACAGATACATTACACCAAGCAGGGTGATAGCAGAAGTCCTCACAGCCTGCCAGAGAGAACAAATACAATTTTTCAATCACAACAGACCCATGAAAATGGCTACAATATTTCTACATGTGCTAGAATGTACTCACTGGATTTGTTGCAGCAAGAGCAGTCTTCACATTGCTAATGAAAGCTTTGACATTCAACCTAGAGGAAACAACATTAGAATTGTAAACAAATGAAACTTTCAAAATACTCAATAGTTTATAAAGCTAGATTATGAGACTAGCTCCTGCTGAAGAATTCTTATTATTTTTTTGTTTTTTTGTCGGTCATGGGGCTCAAACTCTGGACCTGAGCGCTGTCCCTCAGCCCTTCAGCTCAAGGCAAGTGCTCTACCACTTGAGCTACAGTACCACTTCCGGTTTACTGGTGGTTTATTGGAGATTGGAGTCTCACAGTCTTTCCTGCCTGGGCTGGCTTGGAACCATGATGCTCAGGTATCAGCCTCCTGAGTAGCTAGGATTACAGGAGTGAGCCACCAGCACTTGGCAGAATTCTTATTCTTTTTCCACAATCACTTTAAAGTGTGCTTTAGATAGTCTGTTCATTGAATAATCCTACTATATATGATTAAGACTCCTATATCTAGTCTTGAACTCTGCTGAACTCAGATTAGATATTCTATATCTAGTACATCAAAACTCTTGATTGTTCATACCATAATCCCAAAACATGCTACTCCTAGCTTTATGTAACTTGATAAAAAGCCAAACTATTCTTGGTTGTTTAGGCCATGCTTAACTCTTCAGATTTATCCTTGATTTCTCTCTCTTTCATGCTTTATTTCCAATTCTATTTTTAAAATATGTTCTGATTTATACAGTCCAGTCATTAGAAAGAATATTATATAATTTTCAAGGGAATGGATGGACCTAAAACAAATTATGTGAGGTAAACCAAACTCAGACAAATGTCATAGGTTTTCTCTCATATGCAGATGCTAGATCTAAAGCACATGGATAAATTATATAGATCTCTAGGGATTCACATACAGTGAGTGAGACCAAAGGATACTCTTGGCAAAGAACACAAAGGCATAATGGCTATGTGCCTCTGATCATATAAAATAGTACTTAGCAAAATTAACTCCAGTCAATAGAAACAGGGTTTTTTCTTTTCTTTTTGTCTTGTTTATCTGTCTTTGAGAGGGTAAGGGGAGACAGAGAAATGTAGGGATGAAGAGTGAACAAACATAGCAATGATACTCACTAAACGCCATGTTGAGAATGAACTATACAACTTGTGGGTGGGGACAGAATGAGGGAAGGGGTGACATTGTCCAAAAAGACAGGTACTCTTTTTAATTCTTTTGCTGGTCCTGTGCTTGAACTATGAGCCTGGGTACTGTCCCTGGGCTCATTTTGCTCAAGGCTTGAGTCACAGTGCCACTTCTGGCTTTATATGGGATTAACTGGAGATAACAGTCTGACAGACTTTCTTGCCTGGGCTGGCTTTGAACCATAAGCTTTAGATTTCAGTCTCCTGTGCAGCTAGGATTACAGGCATGAACCACTGGTGCCCACTGAGAAATGTACTTTTTACCTGACTTATGTAACCATAACCTCTATGCACATCACTTTCATAGTAAATAAACACACACAGACACATTCTGAGTTATAACACTCATTCCTACAATCTGTAGGATCATATAAACTACTAAAATTTCTTTCTTTTACACTTTTTCTTTTTTGGTAGTATTGGGATTTGAACTCAAGGCCTCATACATACTAAATAAGTACTACCATTTGAGACATACCCTAGCCCTAAACATTATAATTTGTCAGAATTGCATGATTAGCTGAATATTACCATCCTTTGTCATTGGCTGTCTATTCATTCTGACTATACTAAGAATGATTGTGTTACTCTTCTGTACATGAACCCCTCCCACTGTAGTGCTGGGGATCAAATTCAGGACCTCACATATGCTAAGCAAGTGCTCCTACCAATGGACTGTGCCCTCAACCCCTCTCAAAAACATATACTACAGGTGGTCTTTAGGAAGATGAAGCAATTATCATTTGAAAGGCAACTCTGAAAAGTAACTGGGATTTGTAGTGTACACAAATAGTCCCAGCACTTGGGAAACTAAGGAGGATTCTTGCAGTTCAATAGTTCAGTAGCCTAGATAAAATAACAAACTGGTTTATATACAAATTATTTGGTAAATAGTGGGTTAAACAAAGTTAAACAATGTTTTCTATTACAAGATTTCTAAGAACACTTAATGCACCAAGGTGCTTTCTAGTCTCTAAATAATTGTGGTTATATAAAATAATTTCTGAATGCATTTGACTAAAAAATTTTGGAATTGGCTTTCTGTGAGACTGCTATTAAAACTTGAGGAAAAATAACTTTAGTGAGAACCCTATTAGTGGATACCAAAATGCAAGACAAGCTAATATGGACCTTTGAAAACAAAGGTGGCTTCTTTTATAAATAGATTAGGTAGGCTGGGAATGTGGCTTAGTGGTAGAGTGCTTGCCTAACAGGCATGATGCCCTGGGTTCGATTCCTTAGTACCACATACACAGAAAAAGCTGGAAGTGGTGTGGTGGCTCAAGTGGTAGAATGCTAACCTTGAGCTTAAAAGAAGCTCAAGAACAGTGCCCAGGCCCAGAGTTCAAACCCAGGACTGGCAAAAAACAAACAAACAAACAACAACAACAAAAAATGCTGGGTGCCGCTGGCTCATACCTGTAATCCTAGCTGATACTCAGGAGGCTGAGATCTGAGGATCACAGTTCAAAGCCAGCCTGGGCAGAAAAGTCCATGAGACTCTGATCTCCAATAAACCACTAGAAAACCAGAAGAAGCTCTGTGGCTCAAGAGGAAGAGTACCCTCGTTGAGCTGAAGAGCGCAGGGACAGAGCCCAGGCCAAGAGTTCAAACTCTACGACCAGGGGGGGAAAAAAAAAGGAATATAGCTCTCGTTCTTTAAAAATAATCAGAGAATAAAAATATAATCATAAGTTAAACACTAGCTATTTCTTTTTCATTTGATTTCTTTCTGACTTACCCAGAAAAACCAAACTCTTTTATTGCATTTGATAACCAGTTCAGAGTTTCTGATTGATTCTTCGGATTCTTTTGTGAGAAAGCCATTGACATAACCTGGAGAAATGGAAAATCAACATCAGATTTGTATTTTCTCATAGAAATGTAACACAGCATTAGGCAAATGTGGATTAGGCATGCTTATACTTTGTGTCTCTGTGTGTAGTACTGAGGGTTTTGCATGGTAGGCAGGTACTCTACTGCTGAGCTATATTTCTTTTTTTTGGTAGGTGCTAGCACCAGGATTTGAACTCAGGATCTCACACTCTCACTCTGCTTTTTCATTCATAGCCAGTGCTCTACTTCCAGTTTGGCATTTGCTTATTAATTGAAGAATCTCATGGACTTTTCTGTAGTTTTGAATCTTGATCATTGAAGTGTCAGCCTCCTGAGCCACTGGTGCCTGGCTTGTTTTTTTTTTTGGTTCTGGTTGTGGGCCTAAACTCTGGGCTTGAGCTCTTCAGCTCAAGGCTAGCACTCTACCACTTGAGCCACAGCGCCACTCCCAGCCTTTTGTTTTCTGCTTATGTGGTGCTGAGGAATCGAACCCAGGGCCTCTGGCACACAAGGCAAGTGCTCTACTACTGAGCCACCTTCCCAGCCCCTGGTGCCTGGCTTTAATGATAATGTCTCACCTGCTACTTGGGAATATATATCCCTTGACTGTAATCAACCTGTTTTAGGTCTCCCATTATAGATGGGATGACTGGCACACATGACCACACCCAGCCTCTTTGTGTGGAGGCGAATTCTCTCAAACTTTTCTGTCTAGGCTGACCTAGATCTGTAGTTCTCCTAATCTCAGCTTCCCTATTAGCTAGGATTATAGGTGTAAACCACCAGCACTCAGCTAAACTTGTCTTTTCTGATGCTAAAACAACTATAAAAAGAGTTCAGCAGCCTGGCGCTGGTGGTTCACGCCTGTAATCCTAGCTACTCAGGAGGCTGAGATCTGAGGACTGAGGTTCAAAGCCAGCCCTGGCAGGAGAGACTGGGAGACTCCTATCTCCAATAAACCACCAGAAAACCGGAAGTGGCTCTGTAGCTCAAGTGGTAGAGCGCTCACCTTGAGCTGAAGAGCTGAGGGACAGTGCCCAGGCACAGAGTTCAAGCCCCACGACTGACCAAAAAAAAAAAGAGAGCTCAGCAATAAAAGATTTAAGCTATACAGGGGAATAAGCTAAGTGACAGCAGTATTAAAAGCCAGGCACCAGTGGCTCACATCTATAATCCTAACTACTCAGGAGGCTGAGATCTGAGGATCTCTGTTTAAAGCCAGACTCAGCAGACGAACCTGAGTCTTATTTCCAATGAATTATTAATGAAAATATGGCTCAAATTGTGGGCAAAAAAAGCAGAGTGAGATTGGGAAGCCCCAATCTGTTCCTGCCCCAGTACTGGTACTCACACACATACACACAAACACAAAAGTTTTATGGGCCAGGCACTAGTGGCTCAGACCTGTAATCCTAGCTACTCAGAAGGCTTAGATCTGAGGATCCAGGTTTGAAGCCAGCCCAGGCGGGAAAGGGTATGTGAATCTCTTATCTGCAAGTAACCTCTAGAAAACCAGAAGTGAGCAAGGTAGGTGTCTGGTGGCTCACAACTATAATCCTAGCTACTCAGGAAGCTGAGATTTGAGGATCACAGTTCAAAGACAGCCCAGTAAGGAAAGTCCATGAGATTCTTATCTCCAATTAATCACCAGAAAACTGGAAGTGGTGCTGTGGTTCAAGTGGTAGAGTGCTAGCCTTGAGCTGAAGAGCTGAGGGACAGTGCCCAGGCCCAGAGTTCAGGACCCATGGGGGGGGGGGGGAGTTGGGTGCTGGTGGCTCACACCTGTAATCCTAGCTACTCAGGAGGCTGAGATCTGAGGATCATGGTTCAAAGCCAGCCTGGGCAGGAAAGCCCTTGAAACTCTTAATCTCCAATAAACTGTGGCACTGTGGCTCAAATGGTAGAGCATCTGCCTTGAGCGGAAGAGCTGAGGGACAGCGCCCAGACCCAGAGTTCAAGCCCACGACAAAAAAAAAAAAAAAAAAGCCAGCCCTGTAGGAAAATCCCTAAGACTCTGGCCTCTTATTAACCACCAAAAAGCTGGAAATAGAGCTGTGGCTCAAGTGCAGAATACTAGCCTTAAGCCAAAAAGCATGGAGACAGCACCCAGACCCCGAGTTCAAGCCACAGAACCAGAACCACAAAAAAAGCTTTATGGACTGTTTACAACTTTTCATTAGTATTATTATTTTTTATTTTGGATTATAATTTTTCTTTAAAAAAATTGTGGGGCCTGAACTCTGGGCCTGGGCGCTGTCCCTCAGCTCTTCAGCTCAAGGGTAGCGCTCTGCCACTTGAACCACAGTGCCACTTCTGACTTTTTTCTTTTTGCTTATGTGGTGCTAAGGAATCGAACCCAGGGCCTCATGCATGCAAGGCAAATGCTCTACCAGAATATTATTTATTATTCTACAGAATCTTATTGATTGATTGATTAGGGCCAGTCATGGGGTTTGAACTCAGTGCCTTGGGCTTTCATTTGGCTGTTTTGCTCAAGGCTGGAGTTCTACTACTTGAGCCACACTTCCACTTCTAGCTTTTTACTAGTTTTTTTTTTTTTTCTTTCTTTTTTCCCCAGGGCTGAGGACTGAACCCAGGGCCTTGCGCGCACCTGGCAGACGCCCTTCCGCTGGGCTAAACCTCCAGCCCCCTTTTTTCTAGTTATATAGGTAAGAATCTCATAGATTCTTCTGTCCAGGCTCTCTTTGAACTATGATCCTCAGATCTTAGTTTCTTAAGTATTTTTGACTAAATTTTCATTATCAGGCAATAGTGTATTAGTAAGCATAAATTAATATTTGGAGCCACGTGCAATGGCTCATATCTGTAATCCTAGTTACCCGGGATGTGGAAACTAAGATTATAGTTTGAGGCTAGCCTAGGAATAAAAAGTTGCAAGACTCTTTCTCAATCAATGGCTGAGCATGTTATTCTTGCTACAGGGAAAGCACAATGTCACTCTCAACACGGGGAAGCATAAGTAGGAGGATCAATATCCAAACAAGTCTGGGAATATAGGAAGATAATATCTTCAAAATTAATACTACAAAAATGGTATGGAAGTGTGGATAAAATGGTATAGTATCTGCTAGGACTTGAGTTTAAGCCCTAGTCCCAGAGGGAAAAAAAAAAAAAGAAAACACTAGGACAACTTAGAGAAGAAAGCTCTGTGACACTAACCTGTTCAGCTGTCCATGGCAACATACATGCTTCGGCTATTGCCGTCATAGCTTCCTTTGCATTGTTTCCACATTTTACATCTCCAATCTTATCTACAAGACCATCTAATACAATCTGAGCTGATGTTTTGGAGAAGTTTCCCTTCTGGGCAATCAAAGCAACTATGTGAAGCTTCATCTGCATCACCTGAACAACAGTAAGTATCATAAAATTATGAGTCAGCCAAAAACATTTACTTAATCATACAGCAGCCTGAAATAACTGCCATAACCAAACCAAAATCAAAATCTGAAGTAGAAGCAAAGTATTCTTCATTTCTTTATCTTTTAAAACTTATCAAAGTATCTAGATGACAGTGACGAGAGAAAAAAGACCCCCAATTCAGTTTCTATACAGAAGTTTGAGCTGAAAAATCCATTTTCCATATTCTCTTCTTATAATTTTCACATGTTTTGAATCAATCTGAACACCCGAAACTGTGTATAATAAATGGCCATAGTGACTGCCATACCTCAGAGTTAGTACTATAGCTGTTTAATGGGAATTAGGGTAACTTTGCCCATAAATATTTTCCTTTCTACTGTCTGAATATTTTATTAAGCTACTAGAATTTCCATTAGCTATAGATCCATTTAGGAAATGAGTACCTTCTTGTTAAATGCAATTATCTTAGATGGGACTACCAGAACAAGTACCTCTAGTAAAGGCTATGTTCGATAAAAGAATTAAGAGCACTGAGAAGAATTTGAACTATGAAAATTACCTAAAAGCTTAAATTCATAGTCCTCACTCAGTTTTGCTCAAGGCTGAAGGTCTATCATTGAGCCATGCTTTTAGCCTTCTAAGGACTTCAAATAATACAACAATCATTTAAAGAAAAAACTGTCAGATCTCAGTAAGAAGACTGAACTTTCCAGAGATTTACTTTTCTTGACTTTTAGCCTCTTCTTCCTAGATCTATCATAACCTTCAAAACCAACAGTCTCAAAATCATGACAATTGTGAAAACTAGAGCTGTACTGCTACTACAGGATGGCAGATCAGGCTTAGAGCTCCGTAAAAAAAAAAGTCCCAACCCAAATAAAGTATTGTCATTATTTGACTTATCTGGCAATTACTTTCCTGCCAAAGTTCCATTTGAAGGACCTGTTATTTGACTCAACTCTGACTAGCTGAGGGGGAAAAGTTCTATTCCCAAGAAATTGGTCGAAAATGACCAGTTTTAATACTGCAGCTGGCCCAAGGTTGCAATGCGAGCTGATACAAAGGAGTGTGATCAAACACTTAGAAGTTGGAGAACTAAGATCACAGGTGATTTTGAAAGGGTCCTATTTATTCACAAGAATCTAAACAACTGTACACACTCAAGGTTGTGGTGCAGTTCCAGGTTCTAACTGCTCACTTCTGGATGACCTTCAGACCCTGCAAAAACTAAAGTGAAGGCTAAGGTGATGTTGAAAGTGTTAGCATTGAAGGTATGCCCTTTACTTTGGTAAAAGGTGGAAAGCATAACAGTTCAAAACATTTAAGGATATCTCTCTTAGTCATCTGCTGGCTATGAAGCCAACTGAGCAGAGACTCTGGTGGCTACAAATAAAAATTACAATAAAAGTACACATGACATTCTGAATGAATAGAACAAAAAATGAAAATAATTATTGGTAAGACTGTAGGAAACGGGCCGGGCGCTGGTGGCTCACGCCTGTAATCCTAGCTACTCAGGAGGCTGAGATCTGAGGATCGCGGTTCAAAGCCAGCCCGGGCAGGAGAGACTGTGAGACTCCTATCTCCAATAAACCACCAGAAAACCGGAAGTGGCGCTGTAGCTCAAGTGGTAGAGTGCTTGCCTTGAGCTGAAGAGCTGAGGGACAGCGCCCAGGCCCAGAGTTCAAGCCCCACGACCGACAAAAAAAAAAAAAAAAAAAAAGACTGTAGGAAACATAAAATTCTCATATATTGCTGGTGTGAATGTAAAATGTTATAGTCATTTTAGAAAGCAGTTTGTCAATTCCTTAGAGGGTTTAAACAGCTATCATGTGACCTCAGCAATTCTACTTGTAGGTTTATAACCTAGAAAACTGAAACTGTTGGTATAAAAATTTGTATGCCAATATTCAGTGACATAATTCACAATAGCACAAAGTTGAAACAACCTAAATGCACACTAATTGATGAATGAGAAACTAAGATGGGACATGGGATATATCTATAAAATGGAATATTATCTGGTAACTTTAAAAAACACAGCTGATATATTGGTGAATCCTGAAAACACTCTAAGTATAAGCCACACAGAAAGGTTTATATTCTGGGATTCTATTTATCTAAAATATCTAGGAGAGGTGAATTCAGAAACAAACAAGCAAAAATAGTAGGTAGGGGCTGAGGATAGTAACAGAAGGTGACTACTACTCAGTATGTGGTTTTTCTTGTGGACAATAAAAATATTTTAAAATTGGAGTTGCAGAACTAAAAATTATTGTATTGTATAATTTACAACAGTGAGCATTATAGTTTCTGATTTGTTATTAAACATACAGACATAAAATTATTCTGTTTATGGATCTAACACAGGAAGGTATTGGCTAAAATCAGGTATCCTCCTTTCACATATATAGAAACTGCATAAAGAGTTTTAAAGGGTTGAATGAAGGCAAGAAGGCAGGACAAGAATATGTGTGGATAACTGATATACAGAGAGAGCTGAGGTGTTGTCAGATTGAGGGAAGCACATTAGAGGAAGGTACGGACCTCTACAGAGAAAATTGAAGGTGAAAGAATGGAAAAAGGGACTAGAAGGATACCAAAACTAAAATTGTCAACATTTTCTTTATAAAGTCCTAATTGCATAAGCTGACTTACTTTATTTCCAATTAAAAACGTTAACTCTAGAAGTTAAAAAAAAAATACCTGAAAATTAGTTTCTTTCCATCCAGGCTTTTTGGCAAGCATCCTCACTAATGACTGACAAGGCATTTCAGCTCGCTCCATTAGTTCAACGGCCTTGAGGTAAAATAAGACAATAAGACAGTTAAAGGGTTAAAGAGTAGTTCCATAGTTCCAAAATCAAGTAATTCCTTATCTCTGAAAGAGACTAGATAGAACCATTGAGAGAGTTAATAGAGGGAACTTCTTTCTGTTATACTTTACCTTTTAAACTAAGTACTTAGTTTATGAAAATTTAAATATCAAAATTTAAAATTTCATTTACTAATATACAAACTGACAAAAAACAAAGGCCATCCAATGCAAATGTTGGAAGATAAAACATTAAGCAGTTACAAAAAACAAATAAACCAAAAAAGTCTTTCATGTATCAATTTCACTGCTTCCACATATCTTTCTCTCACATTCCAGTCATCCCTTTCCACCTACCTTTTGGAACTCTTCCATACAGGCTAGCCTTTCCTTCCAGTTACTGCTATCTAAAAGCTGTATACAGGTAGGGGGAAGGACAGCTGAAGCTTTTTCTTCACATACTTCTATCTGTAGGATTCAAACATATATTAAAATTAGGAACTGGTTGTACAGTCTGTAAAAACTGAACTATGGAGTTTATGGACAGGGATAGGATAGGTAAAGATGGAGGAGAATGATGGAAGGGGTGACACATTGATCAAGATGCACTATACTGATTATGTGACATATGGAAATGAAACTCTTTTGCATACCTTACCAAAAACAAATATACAAAAATTAGATATTGGTTAGTGAAACACCTTTGTCACAATTAAAAGAACGTTCTCATAGATATGTTATAGTATGAAGCTTCTTCAATATTGGGAAGTTTTTCCAAGGTACTTTCAATAAGCAATAATATAGTAATATATTACTATAATATAGTAACTGAAATATAGTAACTGTAGAACCCAGCAAAGAAAGAACTCACATATCCTTATAGAGCTCAACATTGCAGTTTCAAACTTTAGGAAACAGTATTACACTCACAGAGAGTTCCGCTTCCACTATTTCTTTGGTCTCCAATCCTTTCTTATTCTTGGTTCCAGTGCTCCCTGTACCTCCTGGAGCAGCTGGTTTCCCTTTCTTAGGTGGCCCGCCAACCTAGAAGAAATTTTCAAAAAGTGAAACTGTAAGGATTTGAATAATGGTTCTTAAAACCTTTTTGGCTCAGAGAACTCTTTGAAATTTTGATTAAAATTATAGGTTAAAAAAAAATCTGTACACAGAATTTAGCACAGGTTCCAAAGCAGGGAAATGGTCTGCATATAGCACCTCTAATTCAGAATAAATCAATAAAACAAAATGATGGAATTATATTTATAAATGAATTTGAAAATGATATCTTGATGTTTTAAAAATGCCTCTAAATCTTTACAATGGTAAAAGATAGTTTCCATAACATTTATTCAAGAATTAATCCCAAGAAGCCAGGCACTGGTGGCTTATACCTGTAATCCTAGCTACTCAGGAGGCTGAGATTTGAGGATCACAGTTCAAGGCCAGCCAGGCAGGAAAGTCCATGAGAATCTTATCTTCACTTAACCACCAGAAAATTGAAAGTGGTGCTGTGGCTCAAATGTAGAGCGCTAGCCTTGAGCTGAAGAGCTCAGAGACAGTGCCCAGGCCCAGAGTTCAAGACCCATGACCGGCAAAAAAAACAAAACAAAAAAACAAGCAAACAAAAAAAACCCCACCAAAAAAACTTAATCCCAATGGTTCCCAGTATCAGTGCTATTTTTCATTGTAAAAATACATTATTTGGGGCTGGGAAGGTGGCACAGTGGTAGAGCGCTTGCCTTGCATGCCTGAGGCCCTGGGTTTGATTCCTCAGCACCACATAAAGCAAAAAGAAAAAAGCTGGAAGTGGCACTGTAGCTCAAGTGGTAGAGCGCTAGCCTTGAGCTGAAGAGCTGAGGGACAGAGCCCAGGCCCAGAGTTCAGGCCCCACGACCGGACCTCCCCCTCCCCCACAAAAAAAACCCACATTATTTGCTAAGCTATAAGAAATCTTCAGTTATTGTTGTTGTGAGGCCTGAATTCTGGGCCTGGGCACTGTCCCTGAGTTCTTCAGCTCAAGGCTAGTACTCTACCACTTGAGCCACAGAACCACTTCCTGCTTTTTCTGCTTATGTGTGCTGACGAATCGAACCCAGGGCTTCATGCATGCAAGGTAAGCACTCTACCACTGAGCTACCTTCTCAGCCCTTGTCTTGTTTTATATCACTATAACAGTAACACATGCAGTACTTCACAATTTTATTAAGCATGATACAGCTTTTGTTTAATATGTTCTTTATTAGCTGTGTACATTAAACCTCTCTGCATTAAATAATTCGTGTCCGAGTATCAATTAATTCCTATGTAGTTAAGAATTTTTATCAAGAATATATGGTTGTCAGGCTTGGTGGCTCACATCTGTAATACCAGCCCTAGTGGGTACAGATAAAAGCATCTTGAGTTTGAAGCCAGCATGGGCTAATAGTGAAACCATGTATTAAAAAAAATACAAAAGCCGGGCGCTGGTGGCTCACGCCTGTAATCCTAGCTACTCAGGAGGCTGAGATCTGAGGATCGCGGTTCAAAGCCAGCCCGGGCAGGAGAGACCGTGAGACTCCTATCTTCAATAAACCACCAGAAAACCGGAAGTGGCGCTGTAGCTCAAGTGGTAGAGCGCTCGCCTTGAGCTGAAGAGCTGAGGGACAGAGCCCAGGCCTAGAGTTCAAGCCCCACGACCGACAAAAAAAAAAAAAAACAAAAATACCCAAACCAAACAAAAACCTCCCAAATGTCATTTTAGATATTGAAAAGGTTTCAGCCTCTGCCTCCTAAAGGCTATGATCACAGGCTTGTTACCATAATCAGCTAGTAACTTTATATAATATCATCCTTATAAACCTGGAATAAATTTATAATCTTAGAATATTCCTTACTGGATTCTCATTTGCTAATATTTGTTCACTTATCTTCACTGAAATTCATTTTACCATCATTTTGGAAGGTCACAAGAAAACAAATATATCACAAGTCCTACAATCAATGATAGTATAATGGTAACACACATCACTACTCACAATTTTTTTCTGCTTACATTGTATTTGTTAAGAAGTGCCCAAACTTATAAGCAGGACAGGAGGGGTGACTCAAGTGGTAGAGTACCAGATGATCAAGTGCCAGGCCCCAAATTCAAATCTTGTACCAAGGAGGAAAAAAAAATAAGGCAAGGAAAAAAAAATTGTTTTTATTGGGTTGATCCTGGTGCTTTAATTGAGAGCCTGTGTGCTGTTCCTTAAGTTTTGTGCTCAAGGCTAGTGTTTTACTTGAGCACTTGAGCCACAGCTACACTCTCAGCTTTTTTTTTTATGGTAACTGGAGATAAGAGTTTCATGAATTTTCTTGCTGGGGCTGGCTTTGAACCATGATTCTCAGACCTCAGTGTCCTGAGTAGCTAGGATTACAGGAGTGAGCCACTGGCACCTGGTTCTTGTTTGTTTTTTAAAGACTCCCTCATAATAAGAGAAGACTAGCTAGTTTAGGGAAGAGAGTTTGAAAATATGAGAACCAAGTGGAATACTGTAAGAAATCTAGACAGTTTTGTTTGTTTCTTTTTTGGTCGTAGGGCTTGAACTCTAGGCCTGGGCAGTTTTCCTGAGCTCTTCAGCTCAAGGTGAGCACTCTACCACTTTCTGGTGGTTAATTGGAGACAGGAGTCTCACAGACTTTCCTGGCCTGGCTGGCTTTGAACCGTGAGCCTTCAGATCTCAGCCTCCTCAGTAGCTAGAATTACAGGCATGAGCCACGTGCCCAGCTAGACAGGTTTTGAATGTAAATTACTGTCTAGACACAGGAGCTCAGGAGGAAAGCCAAGTGCCGGTGGTTCACTCCTATAATCCTGGCTATGTCTGAAAAATTAAGATTGTTATATTTACCATACATCTGAAAAAGTACTTAAATACATTTTTGGGGGGATCAGGAGAGTCAAGCTCTGGGGCTTGAACTCAAGGCACTTGAGTCACAGCTCCACTTCTAGCTCTTTTGGTAGTTAACTGGAAATAAGATTCTCGTGGACTTTCCAGCCCAGACTGGCTTCAAATCAAGATTCTTAGATCTCAGCTTCCTAAGTAGCTAAGGTTTCAGGCATGAGCCACTGGCTCCCAGATCAATACAATTTTTAACTCTAATTAGGCTTTAAAAAGCCAAGTGTAGGGGCTGGGAAGGTGGCTCAGTGGTAGAGCGCTTGCCTTGCATGCCTGAGGCCCTGGGTTCGATTCCTCAGCACCACATAAGCAAAAAGAAAAAAGCCGGAAGTGGCGCTGTGGCTCAAGTGGTAGAGCGCTAGCCTTGAGCTGAAGAGCTGAGGGACAGTGCACAGGCCCAGAGTTCAGGCTCCAAAAAAAAAAAAAAAGCCAAGTGTATTGTTTAACTTTGTCTTCATTAACAATCACATTGTAAGAACAACCATGAACCTGACACTCAGAACTCAGACTCTACATTATTAAATTCTAATTTTTAAACCATCTGTTAACCTTAGCAGTAGGTGCCTTTTTTAAGGGTCCTGGCTTTGGTGCTGTAATGTCCTTTGTGTCCTTGTCCCCTGCAGCCCCTGAAGCAGCAGCAGCCCTTCCAGGAAGAGGCTTGAATTCCTTCTTTTCAGCTGCAAGTCCAGCTTTCTTACCATGTATCAGCTCCACTTTTTCTGAACATTCTTTGATCTGCAGAATGAAAGTTAGATAAACATCACTATGTTGCAGTTAATTTTAAACACGACCACTAATTTCTTAGTAAGTCATTTCTGGGAAAGAGAAAGCAGGAAGAATAAGTTGTGGCTCAAGTAGTACAGAGCCTGCCAGACCCACATTAAAACCCCAATACTTGGGGGAGCAGGGAGAGGGAGGGGGGAAAGGATGCCTTTTTCAACTATGCATGAGAATTGAGAAAAGTTTATTTTCAAAAAATATAAAAATTATCTTGACCTTCTGGCAGTCCATTTTATTTCTTCACAAATTAAGATTTCTGATAAACAATGGCCATAGTTCTGATGGAAGATTATATTTTAAATGGTCACTTTCCAGGTTACCGTTTTTACAGATTGGTCACTCAAATTCTATTTGGCTATAATTAGAACAGTATTTCTACTAACAACACCACTGCAGCCTATAATGAAATTTATATCTTCAAAAGTTCTATTTTCAAACTTCAAGTCTGAACTACCAGTGGAGCATAAAATAAAATTTCATGAGGTGATTATCTGCATTTTTTTCCTTAAGTGAAACAAAACACACACAACTGATAAGAGAACCAGGAGTAGTGGAGCATGCTTATAATCTGAGCTTCTAGGGAGGCAGAAGCAGGAGAATCACAAAGTTGATGCCAGTCCAGCAAAATCCTCAGTAAAATAAAAATAAAAGGGCCGGGCGGAGAAAGGGCATGACTCAAAAGTGTACTTGCAAGATCCCCAGCAGGAGTTCAATCCTCAGCACAGTCCTCCTCCAAAAACTGCATTGTATGTGCAATATAAAATTTCTTTTCTACTTTATTTTTGTGTATATGTGGTACTGGGGCTTGAACTAAGGGCCTGAGCATTCTCCCTTAGGTCAAGGATGGTGTTCTATCACTTGAGCTATATCTTCACTTCCAGCTTTTTAGAGATGAGTTGGAAATAAAACTCTCATGGACTTTCCTGCTTGGGATGGCTTCAAACCTAGATCCTCAAATCTCAGCATCCTGAGTTGCTAGAATTATAGGTGTGAGCAACCCATGCCTGGCTTCTTCCTACTTTGAATTGCAAAAAGCCAAACTAAACCAAACAAACACAAAACACCAACAAAAAACAGTTACAAGTATTTATCAAATGGGTATCAATATTTTCAAATTTCTTTCTTTTTTGTCAGTTTTGGGGCCTGAACTCTGGGCCTCGGTGCTGTCTCTCAGCTCTTCAGCTCAAGGCTAACACTCTACCACTTGACCTACAGTGCCACGTCCAGCTTTTTCTGCTTATGTGGTACTGAGGAATAGAATCCAGGACCTAATGCATGCAAGGCAAGCACTTTACCACTGAGCCACCTTCTCAGCCCTATTTTCAAATTTCTAAGCAATAAATCCACAATACAAAACCACAATTTTATTGTTCACTTTCATTATAAAAATTGCTATTGACCTACCTTATCAAGCTTGAGTTTGTCTACATCAGCTAGGAATGGATTTACTGCTTTCTCACCAACCACCTTCAAAGCAGTACCCAATGCTTCAAATGCAGCATCTCTGACTTCAGGAGCAGAATCATTGATGTGCTATACTCCAGAAGTAAGCAAAATGATCTTTAATATAGACTACCTGAGGTATTACTAATTTTAATTCAGATCACTAACTGTTGGATAAGAATTTGCCTTTTTTAATTTACTGAAGTTAATTATCAATTAAGTTATTCTTTCACAAATTCTTTCTGGATTAAAGAAACCACCTGTATCAATACAGCAAGTATATGATTAGCTTCATTTTATCATAATGTCTCTCTTCCACACAATCTTCAAATAATCCAGATTTGATGTCGACATTTGGCTGTATCTAGCTGAATACCATTAAGTGGCCAACTTAACAAAATATTCAGCAATTAGTAGAATCATAAAGTCATAAAGCTAACTTATCTTTTCCTTGAAAAATAGAAACACACTAAGGTACTCTAAGGAAGGTCTGTTTTTTTAAAAGAGCATAATCTATATCATGAAAGTGACATAGTCATTGTAAGGAAAAAATTTTCTGCCTAGGTATAAAGTATCATCCCAGTTACACTGACAGTCTGTACCTTAAGTAGAGCAGCACAAAAGGGCTTCAGTAAGCTCTTTGGCAGGGTAGAAGCAGTGCAGTGACGGAAGCTTCTTGCAATAAAAAGAGATGTCTGCTGCTTGATGGTTGGATTTTTATTATCCATTACTGCTAAAACATCCTCACTGATATTCTGTAATGTGGTCTTTAGGAAGAAAATGTGGTTAATGCACTTTTAAAAATTGTAATTATTAAAAATATCACAATGACAAAACTTACTTTACATAAAACCACAAATTCAAGCAGGCAACTTACAGTAAGGAAAATTGCATCAATTGCCTCCTGCAGGGCTTGTACCACTTGAGGCTTTTTTTCTTTGAATTTCTCCAAAATGGTTGGTACAACCTGTAAAAGTGAACCGCTAGAGTAATACTCAGCAATAAAAAAGAATGAACTACTGATACATTATAACATAGCTGAAACAAAATCTCATAAATTATGCTGGGTGAAAGAAGCTAGTCACAAATGACCACATAGAGTAGGATTCTGCTTAAATGAAGTGTCAAATTTATAGAGAGAGATAGGGTTTGGAGATAAGGGTCTTGTGAACTTTCCTGCCTGGGCTGGCTTCGAACTGTGATCCTCAGATCTTAGCCTCCTGACAAGGAGCCACCAGCACCCAGCTACATTAGATCTTTTTTTTTTTTTTTTTGGTCGGTCGTGGGCCTTGAACTCTGGGCTTAAGCGCTGTCCCTCAGCTCTTCAGCTCAAGGTGAGCGCTCTACCACTTGAGCTACAGCTCTACCACGTGAGCAATAGCACCACTTCCGGTTTTCTGGTGGTTTATTGGAGATAAGAGTCTCACAGATTTTTCCTGCCCGGGCTAGCTTTGAAACACGATCCTCAGATCTCAGCCTCCTGAGTAGCTAGGATTACAGGCATGAGCCACCGGCACCCAGCTTAGTGATAGATATGATTTTTATTTGGTAGTGTTTACTTTGTGAAGTCTGTTCTCAGAAATTATATTTAATGTAAGCAAGCTCCAAATACCATAGCTCAAGTGAGGTTGCACGTTAATTTCATAATATAAAACTGACATAACTAGAAACTATTAAAACAGTTTTGGTCAGTGTAGGAAATAAAATAGCTTAAAGGAAGTCAAATAACTCTTTAAGTTACTCAATTTTTAGGACACTAAGCCATTCTAAGTATTTCAGATCAGATTAAGAGGTCAGTTGATAATTTCCATAGTTAAAGAAAGCATCTCAACTCCTTAATGCTAGTGTTTTTTTTTTCTTTGCAGTTATCAAAAAATATGAATGTTTCATGAATTTGTATACCATCCTTGCACATGGGCCATGGTAATCTCCCTATCATTCTAATTTTAATATATTTGGTGCCAAAGCGAACATTTAACTCTATTATTAAACTTTCTGCAACCATACTTATTCAAAGACAATCATGCAAGGCACTGGTGGCTCATGCCTGTAATCTTAGGTACACAGGAGGCTGAGATCTAAAAATCATGGCTTGAAGCCAGCCTGGGAAGGAAAGTTTATGAAACTGTAATCTCAAATAACCAGTAAAAAGCACACTGGAAGTATGGTCAAGTGGTAGAGCTCTAGCCAAGTAAGCCAAGCAAACAAGAGACCCTGTGTTTAAAAATTCCATTATCAGCCAGGCATTGGTAGCTCAAGCCTATAATCCAAGCTCTCAGAAGGCTGAGATCTGAGGTTGGCAGTTTAAAGCCAGCCTAGGCAAAAAAAAAAAAAAAAAAGTCTTTGAGATTCTTATCTCCAACTAACCACCAAAAAGCTAGAAGTGCAGTTATGGCACAAGTGATAGAGAACCAGCTTTAAGCAAAAAAGCTAAGGTACAACACCCAGGCCCTAAGTTCAAGCACTAGTATTCGTAAAACAACAACAAAAATGCCACTACCAACAAAAAAGTTGTATATTCAGAAATTGTCATTAGATATTCTTCAAATAAACAGAGATTATCAAGTGTATTATACACAAATATTTCAAGTATATAATTTTTAAGAAGGTTAACACCATAAAACATTTTCTACATTAACCTCCCTTAAGAGTTTTTTTATTGGGCTGGGAAGGTGGCTCAGTGGTAGAGTGCTTGCCTTGCATGCCTGAGGCCCTGGGTTCGATTCCTCAGCACCACATAAGCAAAAAGAAAAAAGCCGGAAGTGGTGCTGGGCTCAAGTGGTAGAGCACTAGCCTTGAGCTGAAGAGCTGAGGGACAGTGCCCAGGCCCAGAGTTCAGGCCCCACGACCAGACCCCAAAAAAAAGTTTTTTTATTAAGTTTTTACCATACAGAGGGGTTACAATTACATGAGCAAGGTAATGAGTACATATCTTATCAAGCATTATTGCCGTCTCCTTTGTTTCCCCTTACCATCCCTGCCCTCCCATCTCCTGCCCCCCACCCCACTGCCCGGCACTTAAGAGTTTTAGTGTTTTCATATACACATTTTTGTTATGGTACTGGTTACTAGAAACTGTTGTATTTTTCACAGGGGAGGTTCTGAGGCTAAAACCCAAGGTGTTATACATGCTTAACACATGTTCTACTCATCAGCTATCTAATCCGTTGGTTATTATGAACTTTACTTATTATGTATGTATAGTCACCAAAATGAAGCAAGATCTTTGTAAGTAAATCAACTCAATTACATATTTTAAAGTGACTGATACTCTATATAGGAAGTTTTTATAGCTTCAAATCTAGTATTTACGAGAAGCTAGGCTGCATATTAATAAAGCAGTGAGAAATTTACACTAACATATAAAGATTTACATTAGAAAGTTGTTTTAAAGTATAAAACAAACTAGTTTGCCATTTTAAATGGCAAAGACTGTTACTTACATGTCCTGCGTATTGTCCAAATTTCTTCCTTAGCCCAACTGCCAGGCCAGTAAGGCATTTTGCTGCCAAAGCTACCAACATGACATTAGTGTCCTTCCCAACAACCTAGGACAAAAGAAAAGAAAAGAAAGGAGAAAAGAAAAAAAAAGCCACACAATTTTGTCAAAGGGTATTAAAATGTATTCAAAAGATCTCTGAAAGCTACTATGTTAATAGATGGCCAATTTTATTTCTTACAAAAGAGGAAAACTTTTATTCTTTTTTGATAATAGTGAATTTAGGAAACTATTATAAATTTTTTCTGTTGTATAGGAGACAAGAGTGTCACTATGTAGCCTATGCTGACCTCGAACTCACCATTCTCCTGTTTCTCCCTTCATTATGTTTACTGTATCTTAAAGTGTTACAAAAACAAACAAACAATGGGGCTGGGAAGGTGGCTCAGTGGTAGAGCACATGCCTTGCATGCCAGAGGCCCTGGGTTCTATTCTTCAGCACCACATAAGCAAAAAGAAAAAAGCCGGAAGTGGCACTGTGGCTCAAGTGGTAGAGTGCTAGCCTTGAGCTGAAGAGTTGAGGGACAGCGCCCAGGCCCAGAGTTCAGGCCCCATGACTGGACCCAAAAAAAAAACCCAAAACAACACACACAAAAAAACCAACCAAACAAAAAAAAAACCCCACACATATAAACCCACAATTTCAAATTACTGACTTTCCAGTAATGGTATATGATACAAATGCAGGAAGGTAACACTGATAATGGCAGAAAAGCTGAAGGGCTACTAACTGCTTTGGTTCAGGAAAACCTACAGTTTACCTCTGAAAGACACTACTGGGCAGAAGCTCTGTAATATTTACACAGTAAAAACTACCTTAGGCATCTTCTGGAAGTCCATAGGGATTCTAAATTGCAAATGCCAATGCAGTCATTCTTCTCTCTAAGGGAGTTCCTAGCCCTGCAGCTACCATTTTACTCACATAATGATCATTAAGTTTGTACTTGGAGGCTCTAAGCAGATTTTCCTCCATGTTTGTACTATTGACATTGTATGACCCAAAGAGCCCAGCACTTATCTAAACTCATGGACTGTAGATGCATCAGTGTCAATTCGGTAAGATTGGGTTCCTTCCTGGTTATATATTTTTTTTTTTGGGGGGGGGTCCAGTCATGGGGACTGAACTCTGGGCCTGGGCGCTGTCCCTCAGCTCTTCAGCTCAAGGCTAGCGCTCTACCACTTGAGCCACAGCACCACTTCCAGCTTTTTTCTTTTTGCTTATGTGGTGCTTGAGGAATCGAACCCAGGGCCTCATGCATGCAAGGCAAGCACTCTACCACTGAGCCACCTTCCCAGCCCCTCCTGGTTATATTATTACGATGGCAAATTACCAAGTGAGTTGGTGCTAAAAAGCTGCTTTACTAGCTGTGCACCAGTAGTTCACATTCATAATACCTGCTACTTAGAGGGCTGAGATTTGAGGATCACAGTTCAAAGCTAGCCAGGTAGAAAAGTCTGTGAGACTCATTTCTAATTAACCACAACAAACCAGAGTGGAGCTATGACTCAAGTGGTAGAGCACAAGGCTTGAGCAAAAAAAGCTCTGGGACAGCACCCAGGTAACTGAGTTTAAGCCCCAGGGCAAGAACAAAAACAAAAACAAAGCAAAAAGAAGTTGCTTTACTTGCGTTTCTACTTGTTTTTTAAAAAATTATTTTCTCACTAGATGGCCTCTACTTCCAATTTTATCTAGCCTCTTAGTCCCCAAACCAGAATGCTTTATTTTCAATTCTGTTTTTATTGACAAATATATTTCATTTACTAAGAATAGTTTAGGAATATTCAACATAATACCAAATATCTAATTCTTCTGGAAAAAGTCTCAAAATCCTTTATATATTATGATTTTTAAAAATATGTATATGTATATATATACATATAAATTCATCATATATCCCTATAGTTTGCGTAACAGGATGATATAATACAGTATGGTATTCTTTGTGATCTCACAAAAAAAAAAACCTTCATATAACTACAGATTAGAATAGCTTATTTCAATAACTATAGATTAGGATAGCTTATTTCAATAGTTCATCTTATGGAATTATAAAACTGTAATATTTAGTTCTAGGTCAGCAAGAGGTATACAGAAAATAGCAAACAACATATGAAAGCAAAAAGATAATATATAAAGACTGGGAAACAAATTTTAAAGTTCTTTAAAAATATTACCTTTAATTCAAACACCATTAGACATGGTATTGTGTTTATGATAAGATCACTAAATTACTGAAGAAAAAAAATCAAGGTCAGTGTTGTTGCCTGTATATAAAAACTGAAACACCTCCCACTTACCTTTTTTAATGCTTTTACTAAATCTGCATAATCTCCTGCTTCTAGTTTTGGGTTTTTCACTAGTACTTCTACAGCCTCCAGGGCTTCTTTTCTCTCTTGCCATTTTTTTGCCTCCTATAACAGAAAATAAAAGAGAAGACTAAAAGAATTATTTCTTATACTCTACTTATTCAAAGACATAACTTTTTTGTTTCAGAAACTTGTTTTGGTCAGTTGTGGGACTTGAACTGTGGGCCTGAGCGCTGTCCCTCAGCTCTTCAGCTCAAGGCGAGCGTTCTACAGCTTGAGCTACAGCGCCACTTCTGGTTTTCTAGTGGTTTACTGGAGATGAGTCTCATGGACTTTCCTACCCAGGCTGGTTTTGAACCGTGATCCTCAGATCTCAGCTTCCTGAGTAGCTAGGATTACAGGCATGAGCCACTGGTGCCCAGCTTTGTTTCAGAAACTTTTTCTAAAGTTAATTTAAAATTAAAACTGTAGGGCTAGAGATGTGGTTCAAGTGGTGGAGTGCCTGCCTAGCAAGAATGAGGCCCTGAGTTCAAACTCCAGTACTACCGGAAAATAAAACAAAACTGTAACTGTACGTGGTGGCTCTATTGTAATCCTACCTACTTGTCAGAGATTGGAGGATCATGTTTTGAGCCCAGCCTGGGGGGGAAAGTTCTTGAGATTCCATCTTGTTGTGATGGTGTTTGCCTGTCTATGGGGGAAACACAATGATGTGAGATGATACATGCTTGTCATCCCAGTGATGTGGAAAAGAAAATAGGAATATCGAAATTCAGGCTGGCCTGAGCATAAAGCCTAGACCCTCTTTCAAAAAAGGGCTAGGTTATGTGACTCAAGCACTGTCTAGCAAGTACAAAAGGCCCTGTGTTCAAACTCATCTATCTACACTTCTATTTTAGTAGAGTACAAGGACCCAACTAGCTTTTATTTGCCACAGAAAGATGAAAAATGCCTAACCTCAAAAAGATTACAGCAAAAACATTGGGGAGAGGGCTTTTATTTTTATTAGTAGGATTTGAACTGAAGGCTTATGGTTGCTAAGATAAGCATACTAGCACCTTTCTAGCCTTTTTTGACTGTTTTGTGACAAGGTCTCACTTCTTGCTCAGGCACATATTTGGGATGCAATTCACCTATTTCAGGCTTCCAATCCTGGTATGGCTTGTGTGCTACCATGCTCCACTCATTGAAATAGTGTCATAGATTGTTTTGCCTGGCTGGCTTGAAATCATGATTTGAGAGTCCAATGTAGCTAGGATGAGTGGTGTGTGTCATTATGACCAGCTACTGGTTGAGGAGTCTCATGATGATCTTTTCTGTCTGGACCAGCCTCAAAATGAGTCTGTCAGCTTTAAGGAACTAGGATTACAGGCATGAACTTCCCAAGTAAGATTAAAGAGAGGTTTAGACCAAGAGTGCCCAGCTGTTTTTAAGATAGGGTGTCTCTATAGCCTAGGCTGGCTTCAATAATCCTCCTGGCTCTAACTCCCAAGTTCTGGAATGCCTGGCTGACAGTTGTACTTTATTTGTTTTTTTTTTGGTTTTTTTTTTTTTGGGGGGGGGGGTCCGGTCGTGGGGCCTGAACTCTGGGCCTGGGCGCTGTCCCTCAGCTCTTCAGCTCGAGGCTAACACTCTACCACTTGAGCCACAGTGCCACTTCCGGCTTTTTTCTTTGTGTTTATGTGGTGCTGAGGAATCGAACCCAGAGCCTCATGCATGCAAGGCAAGCACTCTACCACTGAGCCACCTTCCCAGCCCCAGTTGGACTTTATTTGTAAAATATTTATGTTATAAGATATTAACTGGGCCAGGCGCTGGTGGCTCACACTTGTAATCCTAGCTACTCAGGAGGCTGAGATCTGAGGATCACAGTTCAAAGCCAGCTCGGGGAAGGAAAGTCCATGAGACTCTTATCTCCAATTAAGCACCAGAAAACAAAGTGGTGCTGTGGCTCAAGTGGTAGAGTGCTAGCTTTGAGAGGAAGAACGCAGGAACAGCGGCCAGGCCTAGAGTTCAAGCCCAACAACTGGGGTGGGGGGAGGGGAGAAAGATGTTAATTGGAAGCCTATGTTGTGGCAAATGCCTGTAATACCAGTACCCAAAAGAAAGAAAAAGGACAATCACAAGTTTGAAGCTATACAACATAAACTACATAGTAAGTTCAAGACCAGTACAATGACTGCCTCAAAAAAACAAAGGCTGTTAGCCAGGCATAGTAGTGTACACTTGTAATCCCAGCAATCAGTAGGCAGAAGCAAGAGCATTCTAGAGGCTCAAGTTAAGTAGATATATAAGGAGTTGTTAGCAGAGGTAAAAAGATCTTTAATAAACAACTATCCAATTGTAACCAATATAAAGTACAATCTGCTTCAGTTAAAGGGCCAAAGGATTTTTTTTGTTTGTTTGCTTGGTTTGGACAGGGTCAGATTATATAGCCCAGGCTAGTCTGGGATTCACTCTGTTTTTTTTTGTTTTGTGTCCGGTCATGGGGCCTGAACTCTGGGCCTGGGTGCTGTCCCTTAGCTCTTCAGCTCAAGGCTAGCGCTCTACCACTTGAGCCACAGCGCCACTTCCGGCTTTTTTCTTTTTGCTTATGTGGTGCTGAGGAATCGAACCCAGGGCCTCACGCATGCAAGGCAAGTGCTCTACCACTGAGCCACCTTCCCAGCCCCTGGGATTCACTTTGTAACCTAAACTCACAGTCCTTCTGCTCCCAACTCCCAAGTACTGGGATTACAGGCATGTATCACTATACCTAGCAAATTTTATTTTATTTGTGTTGTAATTGAGGCTTGAACTCAGGTCCATCTGCTCTTGCATATCTTTTTTGTATGTAGCTAGTGCTCTATCACTTTAGTCTCACCTCCAATATATTAGTTTTGATGGCTAATTGGAGGTAGTGTCTCATGGAATTTCCTGCTCAGGCTGGCTTCTAACCAAATCTTCAGATCTCAGTTTCCTAAGTAGCTCAGATTAGAGGTGTGAGTCACTGTTGCCCAGCTGCAACTTTTGTTTTGAGATTGTCTTGCTATGTAGCTAATCCAGGTTTCCCTCAAAATTGCAATTCTCCTACCTCAGCTTCCTATATGCTGGGATTACAGATGTTGCTATCATGCCTTGCTGAATGAACATAATTTAAGCAGCCAAGTAGAATCTCTCCTAAGAAAATGATGCTTAAGAGGATGGGAGGAAAACCTCTGTGTAACTAATGTAAGCTAATAAAAAAAAAAGTTTAAAAGACAAAAGATGATGGGAGGAGAAAGGGGAAGAGAAGGAGGGAAAAAGAAGGATGTTTAGAGAAAATTTTGATTGTCATAATCCATGAAGAGGATATTACTGATGGCTGGTTAAACATCCTGCAATAAACAGAGTAGCCCATCAAAACAGAAGTTATCTGACAAAAAATGCTAAGAAATTCTGGGCTCAAGTAATGACAAGGGGGATGAACAAGTAATGACAAGGGCGATGGTAACTGAAGGTTGAACTTGTGGCCTTATGCTTGCTAGGCTGGCTCCTTGACCCCAGTCTCTTTTCCTTTAACTAATTATAGGCAGGGTTTCACTTCTCTTGACCAGCCAGCCTGCATGATTTTGTTTGTCCTATTTTACACCTTTCATACAACTGGGAGGACTGACATGTGCCACCAAGCCCAGCTTTATCTCATTGAGCTTGAAAACCTTTGATGGTGCCCAGATTAAGCTTGAACCATAATCATAGACTCTCAAACAGCTAGGATCACAAACATGAGCCACAATGCCTGGCTAGCTAAACTGGAGAGTTATTTAAATATAAATCAAAAAAAAGCAAAAAGTCAAGAATAATAAAGTTCTGGTTTTGACAAAACATACAAAAGAAAAAGTGCCATAATAATTGCATATACAAAGTAATATGAAAGTACAGAGGAAGTAACTCTCTTAAGGGAGAGATATGGGGTCAGAGTACGGGAGTAATACCAGAAATAGTATTCTCTTATCTAAGTTATTATTTAAAATGAAGGAATTTTAGCTACTACTTACAATTTTGTCATAAAAGTCTTTGGGAAGTTTGGAAAGGACTTCTACTGCTTCCAAAAGCTCATAAGCATCTATCTGTGGCACTTCATCACCATCATCACCACCTTCCAGGAGAAAAAACAAAATAGATGTTAAAAGGATGGAATGGTTTTTTCTTTGTCAGTTATCAGTCCTATGAGAGAGAGAGAGAGAGAGAGAGTGTCCTGGGGCTTGAACTCAGGGCCTGAACTCTGTCCCTGAGCCTCTCTGTACTCAAAGGTAGCACTCTACCACTTGAACCATAGCACTACTTCCAGCTTTTTTTTTTTTTT